CGAGACGTGTCTAGAAGAACCATACCATGGTGAGGTCTAGCCACGCCTAACTTAGCTTTTCAATTTGGATGCTTACCATGATTCGTCGCACTTGTTCCCTCTTGGTGCTCTTCCCCACATACACCATCTCCAGAGGGATGCGTGCAGCAGTTGCAACTGTGCGTGCTGCGTTTGTGAATTTACGTATCCATTCTAGATCATCTCCTCCATACAAGAAAATGTATTTTCCTTCTCTAATATGAGTACAAAACAGAATAATCCCATTTTGAGAATTGCTTCCACTAGCAAACAAATTTCCCTCCAGGCTGATGATGACTCCACTCTTCCTCCTCTCATTAATGCAATGGAAGTTTATACTCTTAGTGGGAAACTTACCAATGGAACGAATGCTAAGGATGGTTTGCTTCTAACTTCATTATTTAATTTTGGGATATTATTTCTTCTGATTCTGATCTAAAGGTTATTTTTGTTTTGTTTATGCTGTAATTCAGTGGGAGGATTAGGATTGTTGCAAAATGGATTTGAGGTGTTACAGGGATAGAGTGGAGCGAAGAAGAAGAAGCAGAAAAGAGCGAAGAAAATGTGTTTTTTTTTTTTTTAAAGTATGGACGGGCGTCCATTAGGAATGGACGCCCGTCCAAACTTAAGGGAAGGGCGTCCATTCCTAATGAACGCCCGTCCCAAACGTAAGGGACGGGCGTCCAAAATTTATGGACGGCCTTCCCTAATTTTTATTTTTTTTTATTTTCATATTTTGGTTTGGATGGGCGTCCCTTATTTGCGGACGCCCATCCAAAATTAAGGGACGACTATCCATAACGGATGAACGGCCGTCCCTAATTTTTATAAAAAAAATTTATTTCATTTTACTTATGGACGGACATCCATTAAATAGGGACGTCTGTCCCTAGTATATGGACTCCGTCCATATAATATAGACGGGTGTCCATGTGAGTGAACGACCGTCTAAATTTAATAGACGGTCGTTCATTCGAAAAAAAATTATTAAAAAAATCAAAGACGTGTTATACGTAAACCGATATAATATTTTGGTGTAAAAATCCCAATATCCATAATATTATTGTGAAACAATATAGTCAATTTTATGTTAATTACATACGTCCTCAAATTTCAACGAGTGATCCAAAGGTCAAACACTCTTTAATGACTTCATAGAATATAACCATTTCATTTTACCGACCTTTGATTTGTACATTAAAATATTAGAGGGTCTGCATGAGATAATATCTTGGATCACATGAAATCCATCAAGGGTCCACACGGAATTGAGAAAAAGATAAATCATTTCCTTTTTTGTCTTTCAAATTTCCTTTTAATAATAAATAATCCCACCATTTTTCAAAGTGTTCTCTTCTTCTCTCCTCCTGTCCTATCAATGTTGCTTCCTTTGCCTTTAAGGATGCACCATTTCAAAAAAGTATCTGGAATCAGAAAGTTTACACATCTTCCAAGCAAGAGTTGCTTTGAATGTTTGGACTTCATTAATAGGGCTGCAGAATTAAAGAATATTTTGATTCGGTTTAAAGATTTTACAATTTACCCTAATATTAATTAAAAGAAAAAAAAGTTCATCAAAAATCTCATCCCCTCTAAAAATTTCAACCATGGTATTTTGAGTTGAGATTTGACACGATGGTAAAGAAAAATGCAAGGAATTTAAGAAAAAAATACGAGACAGATTTTGTTGGATAAATTATTTTTTTATGATATTTTAAATATTAAAACTTTGAAGAGGAAAAATGTTTCACGTGAATAGCACTTGCACATGGTTAGTTGATCTTAAAGGATGGGAGAATCCCGTTCCATAGCACCCAACTTGTGAACTTTGAAAGGGAATCGGGTTAAAATTCCTGAACCGGGACGTGGCGGCTGACGGCAACGTTAGGGAGTCCGGAGACGTCGGCGGGGGCCTCGGGAAGAGTTATCTTTTCTGTTTAACGGCCTGCCCACCCTGGAAACGGCTCAATCGGAGGTAAGGGTGTTCAAAAGTTTGGTTAACAGCTTTTTGAATCGAACTGGTTTTTCAGTTCGGAAAAATTTCCAAACAGAAATCGAACTGGTTTGGAGAGAAAACCGATTTTTCTGTTAACCGCTTTAAATCAATTTTGAACCGGTTTTCCCTTTTTTTTTATTTTTTTTATAAAGCTTATTTTTTTTTTCTAAATTAAATTGTAAATATAAATAATACATATCCAAATAAAAATTAAACATTCATACATATTCATTGATCTCTATTAACAATACATTAAAAATATTGTATGCGTTTGGTTTAATATTTTTATTCCTATTCTGGATCCTATTTTTCAAATAGCGTTTGGTACAATATTCTCAAAATATTACCCATTTTTTTTAATTACTTTTAACCCCATAAGGTTATTAATTTCACTAAATACCCCCTGAAAATAAAGTTTAAAAATTAACAAAAACACCCCCATCAACCCAACTTGTCAGATTCCGGCAACCACCGTCGGTGATAGCCGGAATCTGTACAACGGCCAAACTTCCGACCAGAAATGGCCGGAAGTTTACCGCTGTGGCCTTTTCCGGCCAGATCCACCATGGATCTAGCCGGAAAAGGCCATAACGACGTGTTACGGCACAGATCCGATAAGTCTGTGCCGTAACGAAATTTTCCGGCCAGATTCCGGCGGTGGTGGCCGGAATCTGACACTGCAGATGTGGGGGTGTTTTTGTCATTTTACATGTTAGGGTCTTTATTTAAATTAGTAAACCTAAGGGCTTTTTTATAAATTTTTAAAATTTACCTCGTAATACTCCCATATCCAATAACTCAATACTATCCCTAAAATCCTATCCAAAATACTAAACCAAACGCACCCATTATTATTATTTTATTTAATATATAATATATAATATTTTTATTTTTTATTTAATATATATATAACAGGTTCAAAAAATCGATTTCTATTAATCGCTTTTTATTTTTTTCCGAACCGATAATCGAACTGAAAATTCAGTTTTTTGAATTTTTCGAATTGTAATCAAACCATTTTTTTGGTTAATCGATTTTCCAGTTCAGTTATCGATTCGGTTCGGTTTTCATGAATCACATATGTATCTTGTCATCGTACCACAAGCCAAGGCGTTTATGTCTTGTATTTGCGATTTTTCTTTTCTCATAAGAATTTATAATTAATGTAATCGATTATTATTAAATTAATTAATTATGTGACAAATATCTATTGATCGACGACATTGGTGATGGGGGACTACGTCATATTATTCATACCTTATTTCTTAAATGAGAAAGTAAATCTATTATGTCATTCATATTTTCCTCTTAAATGAGAGAATAGATGGAAGAAGTTAATATAAAAAATATAAATATTTTTATTATTTATGTTTTCTTTTATGTTCTTGTTCTTCAATTTTGTACATGTTCTTCATTTATATTTATGTTCTCCATTTATGTTGTTGTTTAATTTTCACTAACCCTTTTAGATGATGTTAGAAGCTGCGTGAGTGTACGTATTAATCAATTTTTTAATGGTTGTTTTCTCTTATTCCATTTCTTATCCTCTCACATGATTTAGACTAAACCCCTTTGAGTAGAAGGGGATAAATATCATGAAACCATAATTCTTTTGAAAATGAGTAGTCAATAACTTTTATTCTTTAATTATATGTTTAGGTAAATACATTGAAAATATCATCCACCTCTTTATAGTTTCGATTCATATCATGTAGGCCCTTAAAGTTTAAAGAGTTAAACACCTTAAAATAACACAAATCAAGATTGTGCTTTTCTTCTTCTTCTATCTTCTGATTTTATTACATTTTACAATATATTAAGAAAATCAAAATTTTGATTCCATTTAAATTTTTAGACCAAATTAATATTTGGTAAATATTTTCATTTTTTGGTAACAAATTTACGAAACAGGTAGCAGATTACTTTTAAAAATTAATTATAGAATATTTTACCCATTATATATTTTTTAGTTTATTATTTTCCAAATAAGAATCTTTTATGAAGATATCGATAATCTTAGTATCTTTTTAAAAGATTTTTAATTTTAATAATAAGTATTGAATATAGGTTGAAATTAATATATATTTTTTTAAATTTCTTTTATTTTAAGTTAATAATATAATTTTGACATCATATACCATCAAAACATTATTATACAAAATAATATCTAGTTAATTTGGTCATTATACATAATCATAAAAATTAACATTTGAATTAACCAAACATTTGCATACTAATTTTAAGATGCTCAGCAGTTTTACCGATATAACTAAACGTTCAACTAAGTTTTGTTATAGCGGATTGTTCTTTGCACATAACTTACAATGATTATTTTACGAGTTATAATAATAGTTTATTCAATTCATCTTGTGAGAGATAATTAAGTCTCAAGCACTTCGGTGATCTCGGAAAGCATTATAAATTTTCCTAAAATTTAAAAAAAAACCCTTAAAAAATTACAAAAACCCGCGTGGGTGTTTCTCATAGGGAAATGCAATCAAAACCATAATAAAATTAGATAAAAAACATATTTAATTAATTAATTATCTCATCAAATTCACACTGCTTAAAAACCTTAAAACTCTCCCTAATATAGCATCATGCTACAGTAGACAACCTTAAAAACACTTCCTTTGGTTCCATTTTTTCCGTTTCTGTTTTCTTTATATTTTTTTGTTTTTCAACAATTTGAAGACAGAAAGACCCACTGCTTGTTGTGGAATAGTTTAATTATATGTCACTGTGCAGTTAACCTTTCGTCATAGTACTTGACTTGTTGCTGTCACTTATCAGAGCCTTCTCCAAGAAGTTCCTTCTCTTGCAAGTTCGACTTTTTATTATCTGTTTCATGGTCAAGTCACAAGTGCTTAAAGATTCTCCTTTTTTGCATATTTATAGATTGCAGTAACTGAAAACCTGTTGTCTTTGCTTGGCAAAGAAGGAGAAGAAGAAGAAACAGAGAACCCATTGTTGCTTTTCTCTTTTTTTTTTTTTTTTTCAAAATTTTTTTTTACTGTTTTTGAGCTCTCTCATCCTCATCTCATTGCCCTTCATTGTGTCTGAACTTGCTGGTAAGTTTTGTTTTTGATGTTTGGATTCTGGGTTGGTTCTCTTTGGATGTTTAAAGGATCAATCTTGGTTTGTTTGCTTCTTGTTTTAGATGTTTATATTCTTTAAATGCATGTAACTTTATTAAGTGATCAATGTGGCTATATGGGTTCTGGGATTTTGTTGATAATTGTGTTTGGTTTGAGTTTTGTTAATGGTTGATTGATTGGTTGATCACTTTTGAATGTAGCCATGGAACCAGCTATTAGTACGGACATGATCACAACTCAACAAGTTTCTGCTGATCCTCTCCCATTTGCCAGATGGTGAGTTTACTGATTACTCTTTAATTTTCAACATAGTTTGGTTTGGTTGATGAGAAATGCTAGGAAAAGAGAAGAAAATTAAGGGTGTGTTTGGCTATGAATTCATTTTGTGTTTTTTGAGAACAGTGAAGAAATGTGGATTGAAGGGCTGTAGATTTTTATTTCATCATGTAATTTTTCTTATTGGTTGATTCCAGTGTGATGCTTTGTGGTTTTTATGTACTGTTGTAGTTATCAGCTGGAAGCATTGGAGAAGGCACTTAAGCAGAACACGATAGTCTTTTTGGAGACCGGTTCCGGCAAGACTTTAATTGCCATCATGCTTCTGCGAAGCTATGCTTATTTTCTGCGGAAGCCTTCACCTTATATTGCTGTCTTCTTAGTTCCCCAAGTTGTTCTGGTGTCGCAGGTATCCAATTTGTAAAACCAAAATATGGTTATTTGAAATGTTTAAATTTAGATGTTCGGTTCATGCTGAAAGTTGTTCATTTTGGAGCTAGTATGAATGCTTAAGTTAAAATTAAAACAATTTACTTCTGATTTGTTTCTTTTTATGCTTTTCTTTGTCAATACTAGCAAGCTGAGGCAATAAAAATGCATATAGATCTGAATGTGGGCATGTATTGGGGAGAGATGGGAGTTGATTATTGGGATGCTGCTACATGGAAGGAAGAGATAGGCAAACATGAGGTGCATTTTTTTCTTCGCCATCCTTTTATATATAGAACGTAGGGAGCAGAATAAAAATGATTTACAAAGTATATGTGTTTAGTTTTCTAAGCTGCTATATTGACACTGTTATTTGAATTCAATTTTCCTTTAGTTTTCTGCTATTAAATTTGCTCACTTGAGGCTTTGTTTCCGATTTACTTGTTCAGTTGGCAAAATGGCTGATATGTTTTTATTCTTGAAATTTGTCAATTGGTATGGTGATGTTGTGATATACCTTTTTCAATTGTAAAGCCGGCAGGAATGAACACAATTTCTGTTCCTGGCTTTTAAACTGCTTTTGTTGCCTCACTTCTCTTTTGTGATCACTTTCATGTTTTAGATATTGCTTGATTCCTACCCTGGAGAAGATATGCATGAAAGCAGCTGAAATTTGCAATTTAATATGTTTCCTAACTATTTTAGGCAATTGTAATCCTTCTTTGATGATTCCTAGTTAGACTTATGTTTCACGATGTTCAATGATGGGTCATTCACATAAATATAATTGACTTGTGAAAGCTTTTTTTCTTTATTCATGCATTAGGCTGCTAACTTTCCTTTCTGTATATATGCATTAATTTGTGTGACAATGCTCTAACATCACGAATTTTAGGGATTGGTTATGCAGTCAGTATTAATTTTCAGTTTCATGATTACAGGTGCTTGTGATGACACCTCAAATTTTGCTTAATGGCTTGAGGCACAGCTTTTTGAAACTCAACATGATTAAAGTTTTAATACTTGATGAATGTCACCATACCAGGGGTAAATACCCATATGCTTGCATCATGACGGTGAGTTGTCTTCATATTTATGTTATGACTGTTTTTGCTTCTTTCATTTTTGTTTCAATCAATTTCCTATATTATAGTAAAATCCTTATGCACTTTTAAATTTTCAATCATTTAGGTTTATTGATCCTTAATTTTTTGAAGAAAAAACTTTTCACAGGTTTCATGTAATGAGGATCCATGCAGAAAAAATTAGCTCAGTTCTGTTTATTCATGTTTCAGTAACGTTTTCTTTTAGTCGCAAAAACACTTCTTAGCTTCAATGCAGATGCACTTTGAAATTCATTTATGATACAGACATCATAGAAAAGATTGTTAGCTTCTTGTGTTGTAAGGTTTTTCCATTTTGGGAATATGCAAGTAATTATATGTTTGACAGACCTTGAAGAGGATTATATTAACTATATACTGGACGCTGCCCATTGATAGGTGTCTTTTCTTTTCCCTTACGGATAATGCGGGTTGATTTCATTTACAGAATCTAATTTACATCACCACTTTTGTTGCATAAGACTATTGATAAAGCAAGGTCAAGACACTGAGTGTGATCTTGTGGGCACACATAAGTGTTTTGATAAATTTTTTGACGGTTTGAAATGTCAAACATGCCACTATTATATTCATCTTAACAATTTTAGAAAGGACAGAAACAAAAGAGATTATCAGACCTTTTATAATCGTTTGTGGTTGGAGTGATCATTGCCTATATTTGAGCTCTTTTTTTGGTAATTTATTAAGAATTTCTTCTTGGCTATTGAAGGTGTCCTCTTTGAAATCTTAGGAAACTACTAAATGGAAGTCAATATTTCCTATGTTATTTTGCCGTGACAAGTTGATGGAGTAACATGCCCAACTACATTATAGTCTAAGATGCGTAAAATCATCTATAAGCATCATATTAATGAGACACCACTATTTTATTTGTGGAACTAAAATTATATGCTGAAAGTTAGTGTTTCTTTATCATATTGCAATTTCATCATCTTATTTTTTTATGTTGAATAATTTCTGCATTGTCACAGAAATTCTTTTGCTTTTACAGGAGTTCTATCACCCCCAGCTAGAATCAGGTGAATCTGATCTTCCTAGGATTTTTGGGATGACTGCATCTCCTATAAAGTCTAAAGGTATTCTCTCTATTTGACAAAATTTAACACTGTATTGCTTGCTTATCAATATGGCGTCTAATCTTTTTTTCCTCCATTTCACTTGGCCTAGGAGCTAACTCGGATCACGGCTATTGGCAGCATATTAATGAACTTGAGACTCTTATGAATTCAAAGGTTGCTGCTTTTCTTTTATGTTTAAGTTTCTTCTTTGTAGGTGTGTCTATGTATGTATATTTGTGTGTGTGTTTAAACACCTATTATTGATTTGTCCAACTTGGCATGAACATACAAAACACATATCATTGGCATGACTGTTGACACCAATTATTCTATTGCTGTTTAACTATATTATGGCTGTTTAAATAAATTATTATAAGGGACCTCTGTTACACTTTATATGACATTGGAATCCTATGTATGTTGAAACTATTCCAATGACACAGCCCGTGATCTCCTTAGTTATGGTGTCATTAGAGAATTATTTTTGATGGTATTCTATGTGAGAGCCTAAATACTATTGCTGGGACCTTTCTTATCAGCTTAATCTTTTAGGTCAAATGGTTTCTTAACATTCTAAAGGCACTAATTCCATGTAGCTGGGATAATGGTTTCAAAAGTTTAACAACAAAAGGACTTTGGAATAAAAAATTGATGAAAAAAGATTGTGACGCCTTTTTTTCTGTATTCTATTATGTTCACCAGTTCTAAGAGATTTACAAAATGGGAACATTCTTCTTATCTATAGTAATTTAACCCTTTCGTCAATTTTCTTCTTGTGATCATCCTCTATATATGTATGTATCTCAAATGGAATTTTTTCCATGCTTGTCTCTTATCTTTGTTGTAAAATCATCTTCCATGGTCCAGAAAATCTTGCAGGGAGAAGTCCTTGTGCATTGCTGATGTTATTGTTATTGTTCAATTGTCCTGTGTGTATGACTAATACTTTTGTGCACATACTATAACATAAGTTGTAAATCATAAGAATTGTGTACTTTGAGTGGTTGGGATTACATTTGACATTATACAATATGCAATTTCTATTATTTGGATGTTAGGTGTATTCTCATATGTTGGGAGCATATAAATCTAATAATCTGATAATTATATAAGTTATATAAAACATAAGAAGCCGTTAATTGAGGTTCATATGTCATCTTTAAGTATCTTTTCTGATATTTTTATGTTCTGTCTTTATGATGAAATCGCATTGTTTGGTGTCTATTCGATATTATTTAATGTGATTATTGATATCATTCTCTTATACAATGAAGGTTTATACATGCGTCAGTGAATCAGTACTTGCTCAGTATATACCATTTTCAACTCCGAAGTTCAAGTTTTACGAGTACATTGAAATTCCATATGCTTTATATGCTTGCTTAGAAGATGGTTTGAATTCCTTAGTAGCAAAGGTGTGTATTTTCAATGTGAAAATTTAAGTTGCAATGTCCAAGCTTACTGTTTCTGCATTCTTAGATAATCAATATTCTTTTTCTTTCACGGGTTTTGTATGATTCAATTTATATTTGGGTTTTAAGAATTGTTCTGGAGTAGTAACTTCTATAGAGAGGCTTAACAAGGAGAATCAATGGGTTCTAGTGAAAAATAATAAAAATGGTCTCTAGGTTCAGATTTTTCTATAGGATCATATTTTTTTCTACAATGAGCCAAAAAACAGAGATGATTTGTGTGACAATACGAAGTATAAAAAATTGGCTGCAGAAGTGATTTCGTGGGTTCAGTAGCTTCCACAACGTTAATTTAGAATCAATCTTACTTTTCTTTAAATACGTGTCAGAATTATAGAGTTTCTGTACTTGTTTCCTCTGAGAAATATTAATTATTCAATGTATATCATGATGAGCTATGGTTTCTTCTATGGGGGTATTGACAATGATCTATTGCTTTTCAGCATGAAATTTCTCTGAATAGTTTGGATCTTATTGACACACAAGCAGAGTCTATAAGGAAGAAAGTATCAAAGATACATTCGACTTTGTTGTTTTGTGTAAATGAGCTTGGTGTTTGGTTGGCTTCAAAGGTATTTACTCTTTCATCATTGCTTCGTGCCATTAGTCATTTGTATTATAGGTTTGTTAGAGATCATTGCACGTTCATTTCTGTAATAGGCTGCAGAGAGCTTATCATGCTATGAAAGTGACTTTTTTGCCTGGGGTCATTTGGATGTGCTCGGTGAGTCAATTGTTAAAAGATTCAGTTTGGATGCCTGTCAAGTATTTGCCCCTTTCATACCATCAGGTAGTTCTCCAACTTAGTGAGAATTGGCGGAGACTTAATGTGTTATTCTTATATTATTTCTTTCTTTTTCTTCATCCTAAATCTAGGGCCAGAGTGGTCCATTGGTGATAATGATAGAGTCAACGTGGATACTGGACTTCTAACAGGAAAAGTTGTTTGCCTCATTGAATCTCTCCTTGAGTACAGGTTGGCATATAAGCATGACTGTTGATCTTCATTAAATCTATTTAACATAGTCAATATCATGCAGTATGGTCTATCATTTCAAGTACTCATGATTAAAATGCTGTACTAAAATTCCTTCAATTCTTATCCCAGCTCATAAAAGTGTCGATATTCTAACATGCATATAAAAATATTGATGACTTTAATATAATGAAGATTTGGAGAAGTTTTTCACAATATTTTTTTGGTCTGGTCATCTATACAAATGACATAGAGAATGAAAATAGAACAGAAAATGGAGAACCAAGAAGTGATAGGTGCACAATGCATGCTCTAAATCGGTCAGTGTGAGTCAATTTGGGATGAATGTTAGTTTGTTGTCAAATCTCACCTCAAGAATTAGCAATTTAATAAAGGAGTGTTGTATAAAAATATTGTATTTCTTCAATCCCTAATCTGGCAATACTTTTCCAAAAGTGTTAAATTTTTGGGTCTATTGTTCATTTCAAGTTGAGGCCAGGAAAAACTTGAGTGACATTCTGTTGGGGAACAATATAAAACACCTCTGAAACTATACATAATTACTGAATTTATTATTTAATCACATACCAAGGAAAAAATACATTGTACCAAACTTGTATTATGTAATTTGCGCAATTTGCAACATGTTAGCAAACTTCAAGTCATTCTGGATATTAAAATAATTGTATACTTTTTTTTCTTTTTGTTTAATTTATAAATGAAATTATGTTGCCAAGGTTGCTTATCTATTATTTAAACGCAGGAATTTGCAGGACATAAGATGTATAATTTTTGTGGAAAGGGTCATTACAGCTATCGTGCTGGAACCTCTACTAAGAGAGTTGCTTCCAAGATACTGCAGCTGGAAGACGAAATATATTGCAGGAAATAATTCTGGGTTGCAATGCCAGTCCAGGAAAAAACAAAATGAAATTGTGGAAGAATTTCGTCAAGGAATGGTATGTGAATATGTAATTTCATTCAAAGTATTCTTTGTTACTTATTGCATGTTTTGAATGTGAGAACGACTTGTTTGAAGGTGAACATCATTATTGCAACATCAATACTTGAAGAAGGGTTAGATGTTCAAAGCTGCAATTTGGTTATAAGATTTGATCCTTCAGCTACTGTTTGCAGTTTCATACAGTCCCGAGGTCGTGCTAGAATGCAAGATTCGGATTATTTATTAATGGTGAAGAGGTAAGAATTTTATTTATTTCATTTCTCATAGAAACCAAGATATATAATACTGCTGTTGGAACAGTTTGAAAGTGCCCCTGAATCTTTTATGTACTTAAATTTGTCTGACATGATGAGAGATAAGTACGTTTCTGACCTGCCATAATTTATAGTGGGGATCGTACTACTCGTTCCCGGCTGGAGAATTATCTTGCTAGTGGAGATATAATGAGAAAACAGTCCCTGTGTAATGCTTCCCTTCCTTGCTCTCCTCTTAGAAATGGTATGCATGCTGAGGAGTATTATCGTGTTGAAACCACCGGCGCAATTGTGACGCTCAGTTCAAGTGTTGGTTTGATATACTTCTAATGCTCGCGGCTCCCTTCTGATGGGTTAGTCATTTCTACTCATTATTGCAAATGCTGCTAAGCTATTCATTTATGTGCTTATTGTACTAAATAATTCTGTTTTTTCTTGGTATTATGGCCTAATGCAGTAATTTTTATTTCTTTGTCGGTTTTGTTTTCTGTAGATATTTTAAACCTTCTCCAAGGTGTGATATAGAGAAGGAGAGGGAGGTTTGCACACTGTTCCTTCCCAAGAGCTGCCCAATACAGTCTGTTCAGGTACAGGGAAACATTAAGACGCTAAAGCAAACTGCATGTCTTGAAGCGTGCAAGCAACTACATAAAATTGGTGCTTTAACAGATAATCTTGTTCCTGATATTGTTGTGGAAGAAGCTGAAGCACAGAAATCTGGTAACTTTTTATTGCAGCCTATAATATGAGTAACTTGTAAACTTCATTATTTCATTTATTTAATTTTTTAATATACAGGGAAAGATCTATATAATGATGAGCAACCCACTTACTTCCCACCTGAACTTGTCAATGAGCATGCTCACGAAACCAAGACAGTGTACCACTGCTACTTAATTGAGTTGAAGCAGAACTTCAATTATAATGTTCCGGTTCATGATATTGTGCTTGCCTTGAGGACTGAGCTTGATTCTGATATTGTGAATGTGTATTTTGATATGGAAGTTGATAGGGGTACATTGACAGTTAGCTTGAAGTATGTCGGAGTTATTGAGCTTACCACGGAACAGGTGTGGTATCCGGTTTCTTCAGTTAAACAAGTCATTGGTGTAATGTATCCCTTTTCTTTTTATCTTTTGGTTTGTAAATTATATCTTCTTTTTTGATGTTTGCAGGTCCTTTTTTGTAGGAGGTTTCAGATCACTATTTTCAGAGTACTTATGGATCATAATGTAAATTTTTTGGATGGATTTCAACTAGGGAAGAATCCTGAGATGGATTATTTTCTGCTACCATCCACTAACTCACATCAGCAGTTGATTGATTGGACCTCTGTAACTTCTGTTTTATTTCCTTGTAACTATAGCCCGAAGGATCACACAAACTGTCCTTTGGAGGGAAATGCTCATTTTGTGGAGACCAAAAGCGGCCGGTTTTGCACTTGTAGGATTCAAAATTCTTTGGTCTACACCCCGCACAATGGTCACGTCTATTGTATTATGGGTATTTTATATCATTTGAATACAAATTCACTTCTAACAATGAAAGATGGAGCTGTTATCACGTACAAGGAGTACTATAAAACAAAGTATGTAGTTATTACATGTGGGAATATGCAAAAGTCTATTCTCTTTTTCATTCCATCTTTTAACATAGATATGCTTTATTTATGTTGTTTATATGCAACCTGGAATTCGTACTATGCATTGCAGGCATGGTGTCTATTTATGTTTTGACGAAGCAATATTGCTGAAAGGGAGACACCTTTTTACTGTGAAGAATTACCTTAATGAAAGCAGACACCACAAGGAGAGAGGTATAATTTCTTACTTTTTGGTTTTATAGAGTTAAGCAAAGCATGCATGAAATGATCTGGATTTTCTGAACTACTCGAGCTCCAGAGTTACATTACTTGTAGTCAAGTTTTTTGTGTCAGAAAGTATGGTTTTCCTTGTTTGATCGACATTAGGTTTGATGGGTGTCACTCTTGTTGGTTCTGTGAGTTTGCTTGTCCAAATGTCTTAGAAAAATAAAGGGAATTAGTCTGCCCTTTGTTCCTGTTTTCCTCCCAGAACATAAGAACGCTTTCTGGATAGGCAAGACAGAAACTTTGACCTCCGAGTTTTGTTCCGAATTTGACTAGAGTCAATTTTGTTCTATATTGCTCATTCTAAGTAGTATTATCTACTGGATTTTTCTCTGATACTCAACCAAAATTATAACCTTCAGGAATTTTTACTGATGCCAAAAAACATGAATTGCCTGGATTGCACTTCAAATGTGTCTGGAATAAATTAAAATTTGAATCACATAATTGGGATTGGCAATCATTTGTTTGTGACAATTTGATAGACTAAAAATACTGGAGAGAAATGTGCAGGATGAGTTTACTTGGCAGTTGGCGCACCAGATAAAAGATATAGATTAACCTATATTTTTTTGGCATGTTCAGATTGATAATATCTCTTCTGGAATTAAGTGAAATTCTTTTTGATCGACCCACTCTTTTATCTAATACTTTTGAAAGTATCATATTCAATTTATGTTATTAATTCTTGTTTATGGTGTCTTAGCAGAACTGAGAAAGCTATCAAAGTTTTGGAAGAATCACATTTATTAACATGAATTGATCCTCTGTTTGTTGTCTTTGCAGATCCGAGGAATACATCTGTTGAATTGCCTCCTGAACTTTGTCAAGTAATCATGTCTCCTATATCTTGCAGAACATTTTATTCTTACGCTTTTGTTCCGTCTATTATGCATCGTCTTCAGTCTTTGCTCCTCGCTGTCAACTTGAAGAACATGCTTTTGGATGATTGCGCACAAAATATTACTATTCCAACTATGAAGGTACTTTGTTCTGCTTATATATACAAATTATGTGGCGCATACAAAACCTCGGCTAGAAATAATTTCATTTGTGTGACTGCTAATATAAAATGGAAAAATGCAATTCGATAAAGGTTAGATTGTGAATCTAAAATCATGGACGATGAATTTATATTGATTTTGACGAGTCCATTGCAGACTATTTGTACTAGTCGAGTACTCGTTTTTAGAACTTACCATAATATTAATCATATTTCAGCAGGGGTTTTAGCCTAAATGTTTTACGATTTTTGATGGTTATAAATACTGCAAAACTAAACTACTATCCGTTAACAGTAAACCAAAGACTGTTTATTCAATAATCAAAAGTATGTGGATTGAATAAATTTATGTTGTTTAATAAATCTTTCTATATGAAATATTTTATTAATAGACTATCGTGTTGTTTAAAATTTTTGTTTAAACTTGTGCTAACTCAACTCTGCATGGTAGGTTTTGGAAGCAATCACCACTAAAAAGTGCCAAGAGAGTTTTCATCTAGAATCACTTGAGACTCTTGGAGACTCCTTTCTGAAATATGCTGCAAGCACTTATCTATTTAAAACTCATCAAAATAATCATGAAGGCCTTCTGAGTATTAAGAAGGAGAAGATTATTTCGAATGCATCATTGTGCAAGCTAGGGTGTGACCACAAAATTCCGGTAAATTTTTTCTCACATATTTCAGATGTTTTTCAATGTTTTCATCTGCGTTGATTTGAGCTGTTTTCTTATATCTTTCTTTGTGTGAGCTGCTGTGATTTAACTTCTATATTGTGCTTGGGAGTCATCTAGTTTTCCCTAATTATTATGAGTTATGACTATCTGAGCTAGGCTGAAGGGAAAAGACAAATTCCTTTTACTGAATGGCCCATGTGGGGTTCTTGTGGTAACAGCCTGGCCTAAACTCGGTGGAGTTCTATTTAACAAAGCCCGAGAATTTAGTACCAATTCTTTAGGTTTGCGGTTGCTGTGAGTTTGAGAAGTTTGATATTATTGTGTTTGTTTTTGTTTGTAATTGATTTGATTTGCCTCTCCGTCATAGACATATGCAATCTTCTTGCTTATGTTTCTTCACAAATTGCAGGGATTTATTCGTACTGAGCCTTTTGATCCTAAGATTTGGATAATTCCTGGTGATAATTCTGGAAGTTATCAATTACAAGAGGAGAAACTTTCTGATAGAAGAAAAATCTATGTTACTCATAAAAAGAAGGTAAAAGGCAAGACGGTCGCTGATGCAGTTGAGGCACTAATTGGTGCATTCCTTAGCACAGGCGGTGAAAGTGCAGGGATATTATTTCTTAGTAGGATTGGTATAAAGGTGGATTTTGTGAATATACCATATCAGAGACACTTCCAAATTCAGGCAGAGAAGCTTATTAATCTCCACCATTTTGAGTCTCTGTTGAACTACTCATTCCGTGACCCCTCTCTATTAGTGGAAGCCCTGACCCACGGTTCTTACATGCTTCCTGAGATTCCAAGTTGTTATCAGGTACTTCTAATGAAAATTTTATTAAGAAGTATGCCATATATGTTAACATAACTACAACATAAGAACTTTTCCACCTATCATATGTTATAATGATAGTAGTGGCGCTATATAAGAGTACGAATGATGTTGTGATCAATATTTCCTTTTCTGATGAATGTTGTGTTTTCTTTGATAACTTTGGACCTAACTACATGTAATATCTGCTATGCAGCGGCTGGAATTTCTTGGGGATGCAGTGTTGGATTATCTTATTACTGTTCATTTATACAACAAATATCCGGGAATGTCTCCGGGATTAATAACTGACATGAGATCTGCTTCTGTAAATAACGATTGTTATGCACAATCGTCCGTGAAGCATGGATTACATAAGCATATTCTCCATGCTTCACATGAACTGCATAAGCAAATAATTGCGGCAGTGGAGAGTTTTGAGAAATTACCTTTAGGATCTACATTTGGGTGGGAATCTGAGTCATCTTTTCCAAAGGTTAGTCATTTGTACTAATACGTAATTTTTTTGTTTGTTTTTATGCTGCAATTTAGTTCATCTTTGTCTCCGTTATCATGTATGTTTTGGTTTCAAGGATTGACAGTTTCAAAGGCTTGACTTTCTTCCCCATTCATTTAGGATGCATTTTTTCATTGCTCCTCGATGATTTTGGATTAGGCATATAACTTACCTGATATGCTCATACATTTTATGAGACTAGATATTTGGAACAGGTTCTTAATTTTAGTCCATTAGTGAGAGACATATTTTTGATTTGCTAGAACTGTGAAAGTTAACTGCAAGTCATTTATATGGGTTAGATTAGAGTATCAAAAACGCTATCTCCAAAATAGGTTTTGCATAACGACCAAGTTACAACATAGAATCATATTGTTATAATATTGAACTGTAGTTGAACATTGAACGGTAGAGTCTTAACAAAATAAGTTGTAACATAGACTGCCAAATTGTGCATCATAAACCTTTGCTGATTCAACCATGTATTTCTTTGTAATTTTTTATTCATAATTGTTAATAGGTACTCGGAGACATCATTGAATCTCTGGCGGGGGCGATATATGTTGATTCGGGATACAATAAAGAGAAGGTCTTTGAGAGTATAAGGCCACTTTTGGAGCCTTTGATTACTCCTCAGACAGTGAGGTTTCATCCTGCACAGGAGTTGAATGAAATCTGTCAAAAACAACATTTTGAAATGAAAAAACATGTTGCTTACCAGAGTAAGGGTGCCGCTGCTGTCACTATAGAGGTTTCAGCCAATGGGAGACTATTTACACATACATCCATTGCTGGGGACAAGAAAACAGCTAAAAAATTAGCTTGCAAAGAAGTTTTGAAGTCATTAAAAGAAGCATTTCCAGAATGTAAGTTATGGAAATGATTTTGGGTGATTGTTGTTAGAGTTTTGATATCTTGTTAAGGATGAAACAATATATATATACTATGTATGCAGTATGTACATGTGTATCAAAAGAACAACATATTCATGCATATCATAACGGTGTACATCATTTATAATATTATACATATTTTGTTGTATTTTTTGTTGAGTTATAAGGATGATATGTATGAATATTTTTGTTTTGGAATTGAATGTGATTTCTAATCACATTGTATCTTACGTTTGATAAAGGGTGATTACCAAATGAGAACTACTTGTATTATATTGCTTTAATGAATAGCTTCTTTTTATTATTGCTGAATGCTTTATCTTGAAGGGAGATGATGCATATACTAGTGGTTTACCAATCCGGAAATAGTAAGTTAGAAATGTCAAACCAATTGACCTTTCGCCTATGCCTAAAGCCTGTCAACTCCTAACAAGTCTAGAGATAAAAGTTCTAATAGTACGGCTGGAATCAAGTTCTCTTATTCTTATACTAATTACTAATGAGCAATGTTTTAAAACCCGGCTTGGACCAGTCGGTCGAATCGGTTTGATCGGGACTTGGTCGGTGAGCTGGGCCAGTTGATGCAAAGAATCAAGGATTTTAATTCATCCAGTTTAGCCTGTGGTTGGATCGGAGGCACTGTATCGACTCGTTGGTCCAACCTTTTTTTTTCAATAGATCGGGTCAACTTAAAAGAAACCATTTTATTCCTTAAACCCAAATTGCAGCATTTTCACCTAATTTTCAGTGTTTCCTTTTGACATTTTCCTCTGAAAATCTTTCATCGTGACTCCCATTTGCCCAATTTCATCTCTTCACCGTTGTTCTCCTCCCAAATTCTAGCGATTTTCACCCATTTCACGCCGTTTCCCTTCGACATTTTGCTTGGAAAATCTTCCACTGTGACTCCCAGTTGCTCGATTTCCTTTCTTCACCGTCGATCTCCTACTTTTCGTCGTTAGTTGCAGCTCATCTTCACTAGATACCGTCGTCTCTTCCTTTCAATGCTTTCATCTCTATTTAACTTCTGCATTTCATCTCTCATCGATTTCCTCCTTCAACGACAGCAGCTCATCTTCAGCAGCCTTGTTTCATCAGAGGTGGAGGCTTGCTTTCATCCTCAGCAGCAGCTCATCTTCGTTGTCAGCTCCAGTTCATCTTCTCTAGTTTGTCGATCTCTTCCTTTCCTTTGAGAACTTGACTGGGGTTTGTGTTTTTGGTTCGAAGTAAATGAATGGAGGTGTTGACTGTTGATTATGGTTGTGTTTATCTAGATGTCTCTTTTGGCAACAAATGCCGTGGTTTATAAAAAGTTCTACTATAAGCCTGTATCATAATGCTTTAGAATGCGCTTTAGAATGGGCTTTAAGGTAAAAGCAAATAAGAAGCAAACAAACTAATTTGTTTTAACTTCTTTTGCTTATAGGGTTTGTGGCTGTTGCAGCCCCTCTTTCGTGCCAGATATTTGCTTGGCTGGTGTGCTTTTGGTTGCTGCAGTCCCTGCTGGTGTGGGCTAGGGTTTTCTGGGTTTTTGGTTTTGCTTGGCTGGTGTGTTAAAAAGCAATTTAAATTTGGTAGCTAGTTTAAATTCAATTAGTTTAAACTTTAAAATGAGAAGTTTTAACTTATGGTTTTCATTTTTTGATGAATTTTTTTGTAGATGGTGTTGATGATGTTGATAATGATGATAATGATATGTGACCTGACATATGCTGAATTGAGGATGGATTGAAGAATGAAGATCATTGGGTGAAGAAGACCATGTTTTGCTAAAATGTGTATTAAACTATTAATTATTATGTGATTTCTTTATGAATTTTGTTATTTTGAACCCTAAATCAGTTGTAACATGGATTATATTGATGTTACTTTATGTTTTGTTAATAAATTTCTCTTAGGGAACTTAAATTTTGAAATCTCTTTTTTTTTTTTTTTTTTTTGCTTGATGTCACTATGCTGACATCATGGTTGACTCGGTTCAATTGGTCGACCCGGGACTTGGCCAACTTGTCGGGTTTTGCCCCGGGTCGGTTTTTAAAACATTGCTAATAAGGGCTTCCTCTCTTCACTTTCAACTCCTTTTTGTTGTCAAAAATTCTCAACTCACAACCAAAAGAAATGATACACCACTACCTACCCTAGTAGTTTGGTTTGCCTTTTAAAGAAGGCAATCGTAGTGAAGAGCCATAAAAGATAGCCCTAGCGTCTGCGTCTGTTACTCTATTTCCGAATTAACTGATTAAACTAAGGCTTTAGCACTTTGCATGAATTTGTCACCCTAGCTTCTCCATCCTTCACCCCTGGCAAGACTGAAGTAATCTCCTACGGATGGATACTCAATTCATATACTGAATTTCATAGTTGAATAAGCGGTATTGGATTTGTGCTTAGAATAAGGGAAGACATTGAGGAAGCACGACCCAAAGGTTCTTTTTGAAAGTTGGTGGTCATCGTCAGCTAAGAGACTTTTCGAACTCGCCTACGTGGAAACCTCCCTCGAAAAAAGAATGCGACTAGCTTCCCAGTCTAACCAACTGTACGTTATCAGCGAAAGATGAGAATCAGTCAATGTTAGCAACCCACTTAGAAACAGCTAGCTGAAGGGAATCCTGAGTTCAGTACTACACTAGCTACCAACTAGATTTAGTAAGAGTGGGGATAAAACTCGATTCATATATCAGTTAGACTCGTTAATGGCTTTGCCTCCATCTTTGAGAATTGACACAGTGACATCCCCTTCTCCTCACCTAAGCTTTAAGGGAACAGACAGAGGGACGGATTACTCAAAAGAAGCAGCCTTGACAAGATAGAATAAGACTCTCTGCGTAGCTACCGATAGGATAATAGGTGTGAATGGAAGTGTAATGCTAGTCAGGCTTTCTTCTTGGCCCTTTCCCATCGAGCTGAGGGCTGACTGAGCTTAGTTACCGCCCCGTGGGTTACAAGGTTGGTTTGAAATCGAAAAGAGAAGAAAAGGTGGGAAGATGCCTTTAGCTAAGGTACTCAAGGTCTTTTCTGTACCCATGACCCGATCCCGTTGATTAGTGATCAGGATGATACAATTGGTTGTACGACTTGGTTAGAACATGAGGTTTAGCCGAATATTAGTTATTAGTTTTTGAACTGGAATGCCTTCGTGCTTGAGTGCGTGAATTCCCTTTAAGACAAGAAGGGGAGCTTTAGAGCGCCCAGAGGAGTAAAGATAAACTATTCTATTCCTATCTTTTGATGCTTAGTTGCCCTTCCGCAATTGGTTTTTTAAACCTATATGCCACAAATTTCCTAATCTCATGGAATAGGTTTAGCGCCTTCACCAATCCAATCATGATTTCCAAGGTCGAGAGTGAGAATGGTAAGGGAAAGTCTTCGTCTCGTAAGAGAGATCGTCGATTCCTATCTTTTCTTCTCCCATGCTAGAGCTATTTCTATGTTCGCCTTATTTGTTTTATGAGAAAGGGGCAGGTATATTATATAAATAAAAAGTACTGGCTTTTGTCAAGATTGGCTTAATGATCTTAAATCAAGTTTCGTAATCGTAGTTATAGCCCAGAGTGAATCGATGGCTTTGAGTGAGTCAATAGCTTGGTGAGCACTTAGCTTTTAACTTTGAAATAGTTATTTCATCGTTCGGTTGGTTCTTCTAAATAAAACATGAAGGGAAGGGAAGCGGTAACTCTAAGAAAGTGGTGTAATGAGATAAATGTCAAAAACCTGTATTTCTAAATGACATCCTATGCTAGGTATGACTTTTTCGAGGTTGAGCCTTTGTATTTTACACTTTGTTTAATATGGGTATGGGTAGGTAGCCTCCAACAATCTATCTCAATCTGATATGCTTTATTTATGTTTTCCCGAGCTTTTGACACAGGTTTGTAATAAGCTCTTTAGCTGCCTCCTTGAAATGTCTTCTTTCTTTCTTTTCTTGCTTTCCTCGAAGAGTTAGACTGCTCGATTGAATGATTTCCACTCTAATTGGACTTAGGATTTGTACTATCAAAGGTGTCTGCTCTTGAATGTAAAACAATAAATCCAATCCCGTCTTTTGATTCTTCACTCTTGAGTTCCCATCGAAAGGAGTATTTGAGGAGTTGTGCTGTATTTGTTGGTTGTGAAATCGCCTTGAATCCTAAATCAAAATGATGATTGAGCTTTAACAATGGGAGACTGACTACCTTAGGGTATTGATTGGCTCAAATGAAAGCTAGTCTCTCCTATGTTAAGTCTATTATAGACATAGACCCTTCACTCCACTCTCATCGAATTCTCATTCTCTTGCATGTACTCCCAACTGGAAATGCATGGATGCGAACTGACACTGGGAATGACATATGAGTTCATAATTGAGTTCCATTTCCTTTTTCTACTTAAACAAAATCGAGAAAGAACTTCCTGTTGACGCTTTCTCTGATTTTCATATAGAAAGCGATAGACCAATGACATCCTAGGTTAGCCGGGACCCATACTTGGTGATGTAGCCCCTCTAGGCGAATTACCCTAGGAACCCACGAACTCAATGTAATAGGAACAAGTTAGTTTGCTTGGAACGTGTTGAGGATGATCGAATTAGAACCCTTAAACTAAGTACTTAAAACCCTAATTTTGAGACGCCACAAAGGTTGATCACTCCCTCTGATAAGTCGAGATTCAAACATTCATTCAAGAACACAAGAAGGCAAGCAAATAGCTTTCTGAAAGTAAACTTCAATTGATAATAATACGTCCCCCAAAAATAACATGGCTGTCCCTTTTTATAAGCAGCAAACTCTAAAAAAAAGCCTAGCTAATTGAAAAAAACGGGTTGGGCTTAAGTAAAAGCATATCGGGCCTAAATAGACCTTAAATAAATAAAAGACTAAAGAATCTAATGATAATTCAAACATAAAAAAAAGCCCAAGATTAAAAAATGAAAATTAAGTCCTAAATTAATCCTCGCATTCAACTTGATCTTCCGAATCTACCCCTTACCTAAAAAGATAATAGATCATCCTTGGTGAAGCTTTGAAATCTTTGAATTTAGTCTTATCCAACTTGATCTTCCGAATCTACCCCTTGCGTAAAAAGATAATAGATCATCCTTGGTGAAGCTTTGAAATCTTCGAATTTAGTCTTAGAGTCTTTTAGTACAGCCTCCACTTCCATGATCAAGCCTTGCAAAGCCTCTTTCATCCTCTTTATCTTTGCCCTAGTCATTGGACCGCCACTTCCTTTCAAAGGATCTTGGGAATATTTGGGAACATCAACTTGGTCAACACCTCGATCTCTATTACTTGGCTTTACGAGGATGTTGTCTTCCCTTCATGAAAATATGATGGCTCATGGAGTTAAACCTGAAATATTGAAGTGAGGTTGCTAGCGCTTGAGGTTAGGGTTCGCTCCCTGATGACATTAAAGATCAGCTCAGTTGATTCGCAGGTCGACTGAGAGGGCTCTCGAAGAGCTCAAATTTAGTAGGAAGACTATGACCATATGCTTAACACATCCCCCTCATGCTTCTCATGGGGACTACACCTGTGCTTGATGACTGCATGAAGCTTGCTGCGACATCCACGTCATGGAAATGTTAGCGGAGTGTTTTGGCGGACCTTCCAACTTCACCCCCAACCCAGCGGGATGGCTTCGAAGATAGTAACGATGGTTCCAAACTTCGCCGAATTGCTGTGGTCCTAAAGCAAAGCTAGGTAGCTCCTATTCTACAGACTTTCATTATGCATTGACTCTCCTTTTGTTACAGTTGGCCTCTCATTTGATTCATGTTTGCTAACCCTTTCTAATAGTTTGATTGCCAATCTGTTTTAGCTTTGTCAGGCTTTCCTTTCTTTTCCTTTCCTGAATCCCCTTGATTGCTCTTTCACGCACTATTCTGTGAATGGCTCCTTGCTGTGTTGATCTGTATTGTATATCGTGTTGTATTTTATTTTTAACCATTGACATTTTCATTCTAGTGCTTATCCTTCCCTCTTTGGCTCTTTATTCCTTATTATGCTATGTGTGATCTCTCTCGGCTAGGTATCGCTGCAAGATTCCTTCTTCTTCTTCTCTTCCATTTTGATCTTTATGACTCTCCCACCTCGGTCTCTCTCCTTTCCTTGGAGTAAAGGAAGGAATTGAATTTGTTTATCCCAATAGTGAAGGAATTTGTCTCTATGCTATGCATATAATTTTTTAAGAAAATGTGTTCAATGGCTACCATGTTTGGAAGTGAAGTACTAGAAGTGTCTTCTCGATTTTAGACTTTCTTTTCTAGATGGATCTCCCTCTTCCCTTTCTCTCCACAAAGAGCTCTTCTATAAATAAAAAAATAGGGAGGCGGAAGCAATCAATGTGATGCGTAAGGTTGGGGCTTTGGGATGGACAAATTCGATGAGAATGTTCTTGCTTTCCCCTTCTATTGGCCTTCAATAAGGGATGAGCCCCTTCATCTGGCGGCTAAGCTATGATCCCCTTTCTTGGCTAAAACTTCAACTGACTTATCGACACTTAGTTTTGTTTTGGCTACTCACGAAATTGCGCCAATAAAGTAATTTGATTTGATTAGACTGATTAGATGATGAGAAGTTGAAAACTCAATCTAGTTAGGGGTACTTGGTAGCCTTAGCCAAAAGGGAACTTTTTGTCTATTATGAACTCGGATCATCTATTTTTTCCCTTGGGGTTGGTGATTGTCCAAATCCCATACTCTATCTTGGCTAATGAGATCGGATAGTTGACTTGGCACTGTGATTGGGAAAATACCTCTCCCTTACCTTTTCTTTTGCTGTTGAAGTTCGTACAACCAAACTGCTTTGATTGGATGCGCCATCCTTCCCTTCATCGTTTAGGTCAATCA